TTTGAAAATTATAATCAACGTCGTCGCTCTTGACTTACCGGCGACTACCGGCCTTTTTCCTTAAAAAATTGACTGCACAGTTCATTACCAATTGACTAAGTTGCCATTATTATTATTGTTCTCATTAATTAATATAAATTAAAGATCCTAATCCACATTACTAAAGCTCATGCAATGACAATCATATTTATTACTAGCTAAATGACAACACTACTATTCCAGTGTCAATAGAATACCTTTTTACAATGAGGAACATAGAAACAATGACCAACAATCCGTGTCATTTTGGTCATGTGATTAAGAAGAAAATCATGTCGTAAATTAATTAAATAATATTCATGACAGATAAGATGCAATATTATGCTTCGTTTTATGTCATCACTTATTAATTTTTTCGTAATTAAAAATCTCTGAGGATAATGACCAAGAAAAACTTCTTTAATTTAATTTATTAATTCAGCCCTCCATATATGACCAACTTCATTTAATACGGTACAGTACCCCCACGAAGGCACGAACCATATCCAGCTATATCCATTTTCTTAGGTCTTTTAACAATTATCTTTCTAAAAAAAGGTCTTTTAACAATTATCTTAGGTCTTAGTACAATATGACTGTCATATATCCTATGTTTTTTTATCTTTGAAAATGCAATAAAAATAAATGAAAAATGATCTAAATAGACATTTTTTATGAGAATTTATTTGACATTTGCGTCAATACTACACTTGTTGAGAACATACAGCATGTGCGGATTTTTCTTTTGAATTCCCTTTCATTGAGCTGTACCTGTACGGGTCCGTTTGGAACAAAAACTTGAATCCAATTTGATTTTGTCTCATTTTATTCGTCTTACTTTCCTTTTTAGATCGTTCAAAATAAATAGAGAATATTACTCGAAATAGGACTTTAAAAGCTTGAAAATTCCATAATAGAATGTCATGTTGTTAGTCTCAAAATAGGACTTATTACTGTCATATTTTGGCAGTACCAGACTTCAAACATGACAGTATTTTCCAAAGTTGGCAGTAATTACTCCTATTTTGGGAATAAAAACATGGCACTCCTATTTAGAATTTTCAAACTTTTTTAATCCTATTTCGGGAACTTTCCCACGAATATATCTTGAGAAATAATATTAATAGGTATATATTATAATGTAGTTGGTATTAATAACTGTGATTTTATAAATGTATTATTTTTTATATTTAATGATTAAATTGTCACTTAAGATTGTTAATTGTTTCCTAAAATGGAAATGAGAACCTTTATATGGGACGTCCAAAAAAGGAAAGTGAGAATCTTCAAATGGGACCGAGGGAGTATATAACATTAATTGCACTTAACTATATTCAAATCTCAATCACAGTTTTTACGTTTTGAAGCACTTTATTAATAATGGTTGCAAATCAAAGTACGACACATCAAATGAGACGAATGTATTATTGTTTTAATACTACATAGTTACCATCATTTGGTTTGGAACTCTGAATAGACGGCCAGTGATAAGCCGAAGGAAGGTGGGGAGTAGAATTAGGGGAGAGCAAACCCGATCCTACCCGATTGACCCGATCCTACCCGATTGACCCGATCGGATATATCCAAATTTTTTGTTTGGGTCGGATGTTGGAATATTTTATTTCAATAATTAATATGGGCTAATATTATAATTATTGAATTAGCTATTTATCAATTGGGTTTTTTATTTATGTGGTCAATATTATCTAATTAAGCCCAATAGACTATTAAGATAAATTGTATGGGCCAAATAAATGGGCAGAGGCCTGTGTTGCTTGTTAGGGTTTAATGGGAGCCCTAGCTAGACCAACACACTCTATAAATAGGCTATGGTCCCCAATACATTGAACTACACCACAATTCACTTCTCTTCTCCCCATCGGAAGAGAGACTAAGGCCTCGGGTTCAATTGAGGAAGATCCAGACGCCATCTACCTCGTTCCATTCCTCCTGCGGCTTCGCTATGGATCCAGGTAGTAATCTTATACTCTATTATACTCTATTATTCAACATGATGAAGGTCCTGGAATTATTGAACAATCCGTTTGATTTGTTCTTGTATTGCTTCCGCTATATGTAAAAGTATTTCCAACAACTGGTATCAGAGCCTCCTTCATGTTGAATTATTTTGAGTTTTTCATATTTCTTGTTTAAATCTTAAACGATTGAATTTTATTTTTTGTTTATGTCATATGATCTGTCGATTTGAATGAAAATAGGGTAATGCGAAATTACTTTTAGGTAATTCGTTCCTATAAATTCATATGATTGGCAATTGATGACTATTGGGACTATTCAGTTTTAATCGGCATATTGAACTTGAATCCGTAGGGATGGCTTCTGTTTTTTGATTATTTTGTTCAGTATTAATTTTATTCGGCCGGCACTCAAATGGATTCGGAAAATTTTCAGTAGGAATTTTATTTCCTTATATTTCCGATTTTTTAAAGTGTCGTATACTCATATAATTGATTTCAATTTTGTTTTGTTTCTGGGTTAGCCAATCTTACGATTGATTATCTTGGAAGGTGATTAAGTTATCATTTTTTACCTTCTATTATGAAAATGACCTTAATTAATTACTTTGGTATGAAAAGTAATGAGTGGTATATAACTGACAGATCACTTACTAATTAGTGAATGTTTTACCACGTTGATTTGCTTTCAAACTTTTAGTGATTTTTGTCGGTATTTTATATGGCTTTGGTAATTAAGTACATATTTGTGATCTGATTATCATTTTCGGTAATCAAATACTCATATGTAATTACGGCCAACATTTATCTCATCAGAAATATAGATTATTTTTTATGTGATTATTATTATTTCAATTGGTCATTGTGATTAACGGCTTAAAATGTGTATAATGTGAGTTTAAAGCTATAAGGCTATGGTTTTATTAGCCATATGCATGCTTACTCAACATGGTTGAAAACATTGGGTTCAATTTTAATACGAGTCTATGTTAAGAACATATATTAAGTTTAATTATTTCATAAGTGTATATGTTAAGAGTATACTTCATTTTAAAGTATTATATACGGAGTATATGCGTATGTAATATATACATGTTCTGCTATTCATGCCAATTGCCAGCACATATGTATACTTCCACACGTGTATATTTGTTTTAAGGACATCTTAATATCACACGTGTGTTTATATATGTTAAGTACACATACGTATTTCAAGTATACGGCATATATGATAAGTAAATATGTACCTTATATTTAATTATATATTGGTTTAATATTAGCATTTTTAATATATCTGGGTTGATTAATGCTCTCTTGTTGAAATTAATTATCTCATATATAAAGATGATTGTGTACTTTCATATTTCATGCGGATAATAATCGGCCCAAAGGAAGATTATTATTTGGCCGAAATTTAAGTGCATTTGTGATAATAAAATTTGTGATAATTATGAGGTTTTCATGTGAATATTAAGTCGGTCCAAAGAAAGGCTTAGTATTTGACGTGATTTTATTATCATTACTCTAGAGTACCACTTGCAAGTCTAATTTATATCCAAAGATATATAATTAGATGTTGTGTTAGGTATCTTGTGATAGGAATTGCTGATATTTAAAATTAATTATCAAGTAAATTGTGTGAGCACACACATACTTTCAGTTTTATTATTAGTACATATACGTATGTAAGTTAAAGGCATGTATGTTTAAAGTTTGACTCATGTATATTTATATTTATATATGGATACAATTGAACCTTTTTGTTAAGTATTACGGAGTATATGTTAAGTAATATACATACTTTAAATATACACGATTGTATATATGGTAAGTATATACACCTTATAAGTATTAAATTTAATTTAAGAATTAAATGTGTATATATGTTAAGCATGTACTTGGTATATGTTAGGTAAGTGTATATATATATATATATGTTCGGTTTTACATATGTGTAAGAGTACATGTCAACCACACATACATTAAGTTTTATACGTGTGAATATATGAACATACGTATGTGTAAATATTAATATATATTTGTTACAAATATCACACGTGTAGCTTTTACTTAATCAGTCAAATGTATGTGATGGTTTAATCGTTACGTTAAACATGTGTATATATGTTATAGGTATGATATAATTGCATACGATCATATCTAAGTATACATATATTCGTTTTTTTCGACAATAGATAATACTTTGTGCCTTCCGGTTTTTTTTTGTTATGCATATAACATTAAAGAGAGTTATCTTTGGTTCGGGAATAAAGTATGTGAAATTAAGACCTCCCATTTAAATGAAATTGTCTGATAATTTTTTTTTAATTGGATGAGCTTAAACCACATGTTGCCAAAGTAACCTCTGTTGGATTGACTAATTCAATTAATTTTTATCATAGATGTTTGTATGTGATGATTCATGTGAATTATGATCGGCCCAAAGGAAGACATAATTTGACCGAATTATTTACATACCTGCAATAATAAATATGTGGTGATTATGAGGGAGAATTTAATTTTAATTTTTATTCCATGTGAATAGTGGAATGCCTAAAGGCAACCATTATTTGACAGGATTTATCACCAATATTTGATTAATGCATTGAGAGTACCAATTGCAGTTATTCCTACCAATCCAAAGATTGGGGTTTAATGTTGACTTGGTATCTTGTTTGGGTCTTTTAATTTCACAAAATTGGTTGTAATTTGGAGCGTATACTAATATATTATTATTTTATTTTAGTTGCTACCGCCAATGCTCCTAATTTTACCACTCAAGTCAATGGAATCCCGATGCTTAATGGAACAAATTTCAAGTCTTGGAAAGAGGCTGTAGAAATTGTTTTAGGATGCATGGATTTAGATCTGGCATTAAGGACGGAGCGACCCACTTCCACTCCAGAAAACTCTAATGAGGCGAAAATTGAGAAGTGGGTCGGTCCAACCGGATGTGTCTAATGATTGTGAAGCGCACCATTCCTGAGGCGTTTTGAGGCTCAATTACGGAGGGTGAGAATGCAAAAAGGTTTCTAATGGAAATTGAGCGATTATTTACCAAGAATGAAAAGGCTGAGACAAGTAGCCATTTGGCTAAACTTGTCTCTATGAGGTATTCTGGCAAAGGAAACATTCGTGAGTACATTATGGAGATGTCTAATCTCGCGTCAAAACTCAAGGAACTAAAGTTAGAGCTACCTGAGGATTTGCTCGTTCACTTGGTTTTGATCTCTCTTCCGGCCTACTTTGGGCAATTCATAGTGAGCTATAACACTCAAAAGGACAAATGGTCCCTTAATGAGCTTATATCTCATTGTGTGCAAGAGGAAGAGAGGCTGCAGAGAGATAAGACAGAGAGTGCTCATTTTGCTTCAACATCTCACAATAAGAAGAGAAAGAAGCATGTGGTTGGTGCGGAAAATTCTTCAAAGAAGAAGGCGAAGAAACAAGGTGAGGCATTTGCTTGTTTTTTCTGCAAGAAATCTGGACACACAAAAAGGGAGTGTTCTAAGTACGCCGCTTGGCGTGTGAAGAAGGGTAAACTTCTCAATTTTGTTTGTTCTAAAATTAATTGAGTTTGGTTACCTAAAGACACGTGGGTAGATTTTGGCACTACTACTCACATAAGTATGTCTATGCAGGTTTGCCTGTGGAGTCGTCCACCAAATGATGCTGAAAAGTATATTTATGTTGGTGATGACTGATGACAATAAAGTGAAGTTCAAGCTAGAAGAATTTTTGAATTATTTTATAAGGACTTGTTTTTATTTATTTGAATTTTAATTGAGACATTTTGTTACACCGTCTACTAGGCGGTATTTTAATTAGTATTTCTATGTTGGACAAATAAGGTTCCTATTGTTCCTTCGGAAATAATAAAGTAAGTCTCTTTTATAATTCAGATATTGTTAGTTATGAGTCTTTACTAAGATAATCCTTATATGCTTGAGAGTTTGGTCATTTTATGGCATAAGCTAAAGTAAGAGATTCAAACCCACTAACTAAGGATAAACACCTAAAGTCTTTCATGAGTATTTAACTCTTATGAGTGTGGTTGCCAAAGGTTGTTTAGTTGAGTGGGAGTTAATCTTTTATAATTTATTGATACAAAATTTAAAGTTTCTGCAGAAATAAAGTTTATTAGCTTTATAGCTAACATTTTTTTTGTATCTAGTTGAGTGTAATATTTAATTTACACTTAAGAGATCTAAGGTTAATCTCAATAAAGACTAAAGTTGGACCAGTTGAAAATAGGCATGATGGAGACCACTTCACATGTAATTTTGATGCTGCTCACCCATACAGATCTATGTCATCAATTGTATTTTTTATGGTGGTTGTTGTGGTTTAGTCATGAATTAACAATATGACAAAAGCCGCAGCAATTCCATTATTAATACATGAGGTGGACCAGATTGACTAAGTTCAAGTCTAAAGATAAATAGCATACTAAGGCGTGCCTAAAGAAATATAATTACAATATGTAGCCCAAGTGGGAGATTGTTGGAATATTTTATTTCAATAATTAATATGGGCTAATATTATAATTATTGTATTAGCTATTTATCAATTGGGTTTTTTATTTATGTGGTCAATATTATCTAATTAAGCCCAATAGACTATTAAGATAAATTGTATGGGCCAAATAAATGGGCAGAGGCCCGTGTTGCTTGTTAGGGTTTAATGGGAGTCCTAGCTAGACCAACACACTCTATAAATAGGCTATGGTCCCCAATACATTGAACTACACCACAATTCACTTCTCTTCTCCCCATCGGAAGAGAGACTAAGGCCTCGGGTTCAATTGAGGAAGATCCAGACGCCATCTACCTTGTTCCATTCCTCCTGCGGCTTCGCTATGGATCCAGGTAGTAATCTTATACTCTATTATACTCTATTATTCAACATGATGAAGGTCCTGGAATTATTGAACAATCCGTTTGATTTGTTCTTGTATTGCTTCCGCTATATGTAAAAGTATTTCCAACATCGGAAACCCCGATCCGATTCTTGCAACCCGAGACTTAAGCGGGTAGCGGGTAGGGTTATCAATTATGCTACCCGACCACCCGAAATACCCAACGCATATATACTCCTTATATACCTAATTGTACTGTTAAGTGTTAACTGTTAAGCTCGTATATACCAATTATCATTTGTATATTTTAACTAGTATGTGCACCCGTGCGTCACACGGTGTTAGTCTTAATTAAGTTTTTCCAAAAAAAAAAGTGAAAGTAAAATTTATAGAAAATGAAAGGCAAAAACACATAAAATGGATAAACGCCTCAATCTCATGCCAAATATTTCAGTTTGTGTTATGATGATATACATTATACTTTAAATAGAAAATACAAAAATGAATATATACTCAAATATTATTAGATAAAATAATAGTTAAAAAAGTGTTAGTTGACTGTTGTATTGTAGGTTTGAAATGATATTGATTATCATTTTACATTTTCATCTGTCACATTAAGTTTGTATGAAACGGGCTAGCCCTGTGAATTTTGACTGATTTTGAAAGATGTATCTATAGTGGGTTGACACATGCATGTTGTGAGTTGTCCAAAATACAAATATATATTTTTGAATTTCATTGTTTTCAATATTAATTCTTTACCACCGGTTGAGGTTAAGTTCTCGCGGTCTGAAAGTCCAACATAGTCCCTTGGACTTTCATGGGATCTTACAGAAGAGCTAGAGAGAAGTCTAAATTATAGTATGCAAGTTTGCCAACTCTTTATAATAATGAAATAAATGGGAGTGTACGGCAATGTAATAGGTGTACATGATGATGTGTCGAGCCCTCAACGGATAATTCCCAACCATAAAATCCCCCACATCTAGTGCACTAAATGCGCTTCCCATCAATTCTAGCCTTCTCGCCGACTGCTTTGTGGAGCTCTCCCACATACAACTAGCACCATCTGAAAAAACACCAAGTATCAGAATATTATCGACCGGCGGATCTCGAGCAGAAATTAGACCCGTGTACCAACACTACCAAAATTATATTCTAAAATACTTATTATTTTACAACCTTTTTGAACTATTAATAATCATTGTTTAAAAATATTGACTCAAAAAAATCTAATTGTATTTTTATTTTTGTACAATAAGTGATTTTGCTAGATACCATTTAATAGTTATCAAATTTAATATACCAATGATTTAATAATATTTTTAATTAAACTTACTAAGTATTTTTAATTAAAACAACCCACGACAATAGAGGAGACATTATATAAATTAATATATATAACATAATATTGATGGAGTATATGGCCCAGGGACCCCCGGCCCATAGACTCCTACTTCTCATACACAGGCCCATTGAGCCCAAGGAGCATTCGAGGCCCAAATACAGCGGCCCAAGTCTCAAGGAAGCCCAAAATACACACTGGGGTGCCTTCGGACTCCTTGGCCGAGGGCTCCGAATTACACAGGGCAGCCAAATTCGGGCATGCAGAGCTACTGGGAGAAAATGGCACAAAACAGGAGCCTTCGGCACTTTGATGCCTTCGGTATCAGGGAAGCCTTCGGCACTCCCATGCCTTCGGCTACACAAGGCCCTCGGCCGAAGGGGGAGCCTTCGGCCAACGACTCAATAATCGAAGATTCCCTTTGGAGACAAGCAACCACCGCATTTAATGCGACGTCACATCCACCCACCGCAATCAATGCGGTGCACATGCGAATGTCAGTGCCGCCCGATTGAGGTGACCCCTCGGCCATTGGATTATCTCCACGTGTACTCTCATCGCATTTATTACTACTATAAATAGCACCCCCTTTTCCCATTGTAAAGGACCAGAACATCTCGAGTTCATAAATATAATCGCCTCTCTCTCCTACTTGTTTGCTCTGACTTCTCTTTAGGTTATTCCCGTAATAACCCCTCAGATAAGCTACCCCCGGGTACACTGTCCATCAAATATATTATCAGAATATATTAGAGTGAAGTTTTGGAAGTTGGATAATGTTTCATTTATGGTGTTGCCACATGTCATTTTTTCTACAAAGATGTTGCCACATGTGAACAATTCCTCTAAGGTGTTCTTTAGGGGTTTGCTTTATTATACTCCGTATTATATAGATTATCATTTTATTTATCACAATATCAATTATGCCAATCACCGTATATTATTATTTTACATGTTCAAATATGTCGATTACCGTATTTATACAACTATTACTTTGAATGTTATACAAGTATAACTTTGAATGATATTTTTACCAATTACCATTTTATTTATCACAATTTCAATAATAATAAATTAAAATCCGAATGGACCCGAAAACCAAATCAACCCGACCGAAACCCGAACTTCTTCAACCCGAAAAATCCGATAATTTTTTTTGATAGGGTTGGGTTTGAAATTATCAATCCGATAACCGAACGGGTTTACACTTTTTTAACCCGACCCGTCTGAACCCGACCTGTGCTCTGCCCTAAGTAGAATGTAGACCTGCAGAAAATGGGGCCGATCCGTCCATACAATTAAATGGACGAGTTTGGACATATATCTATTTGTCCACCAGCCTGACCCTGGCCGGGGCTGTTAAAAATATGGGCGGGCTTGGGTTTTAGTATGGGCCCGTGTGTGCCTAAAATCCCGGCCCGTAAATTATACTACCTCCGTCCCACTAAGATTGGGACGGGAGAAGGTGGCACGATTATTAAGAAAAGTATGTTTGTGTGGTTGATATTAAATTGATAAAGTAAAAATAAAGTTAGAATGATTTATCTTTACCAAATATGGTATGAGACAATCTTAGTGGGACTTCCCGAAAAGGTAAAATGAGATAATCTTAGCGGGACAGAGGGAGTAGTATATATATAGATATAATATATAAGTGTACATTTAATGCATAATATATGTGTGTGTATAATACATGTAAATATACATTTATTTAAATCTCTAAACTTTAGAGTATAAAGAAGGTCAATTGGCAACCTTTACCTATTAAATTGGTCCAACACAATTCCTTAATACCCTATTTTATTAAACTATTCCTATTTATATTTGTATAAGAGAAAGAACCACACGGCTGCTCTTTTAGTTCTAACTAATGATTTTTTTTTCAATATCATTAGTGGATATCATGAACACATATTTCTATGTTAGTGAGTACATGAATTGCTTTTAAAATGATGTGATATTACTTTATAAATATTCTAATATAAAATCAACAAATATGGAAAAGGAAAAATTTTCTCGGGCCGAGCGGCCCGGTGGACAATCCGACCCACTCTTATGGTTGGGCTTAGGAGTAAGAGGAGGCCCATGGTAGTGAGCCGGGCCAGATCTACCTAAATTAGGGAATAAGCATAAGTAAAATGTAATAAAATAATACCTACTGCTAATTATAATGATTTCTTACATAGCTTTAATTTCTCTTGTAAATTATACTCCGTAACTCCGTATTAATGTAGGCGGCGGCTCTAACTCTCTAAGACGGCAAATTATACCGTGCAACCGGCATACCATGCGCATGGTATGCCGGGGTCTGATACGGCCCCGTTTACTTAAATAGAAACAAGTCACGCTGACATCATCGTTTTCATCCATCACCGTCCTGTCGTTCCCACCTACACACACCCTGCTTCATCACTTTCTCCATCAGCCATCCATCAGCCTTTTTCCTTTCCCACTTCCCAATCACAGATCCGTCACATAGCATCGAGTCTTTTCTCCATCCGGTTCTAATTGTAAAATAGATGACCAATTCCTTTTTTTATATTT